TTTCACATTTTGGGGTCATCTCTCTTTGGAATGGGCACGGCTATGTATCTTCTCCAGTCAGTTGGCCAGGTAGCTCTCTTCTAAACCTCTTGGCTGTATGTTGACCAAATCTACCTGTCAGTTTGTTATACTGTGGTGGCTTACATGTCCTATGATGCTGGAGACTAGGCCATTTCAAGAACTAGTGGGGTCACCTGTGGTAGATAGGTTTCCACAGAGCTTCCAGACTTAGATAGATCAGAAAGAAGAAATAGGAGGTTCACTTCTTGGGGACTAGGCACTGAAAAACCTTGAACCCATGATGGTTCTCAAATATGAAATTATTGGTTTTAACGTGCTGGTCTTTCACAACTGGTGATGGAAGCACTGAGAGTAGAAACTTCTCGGTGACACCCTAAGCCCCTATTTAAGTGGCTCCCAAGGCACGTGCCATACCCAAATATGCCTGGCTATCAAGTTCAGTGGCATAAATGGAAAAGCACTCAACCAGCTGCCGGGGAGATGGTAGTTCAAACCCACCTAGAAACACCTTAGGAAGCAGGCCGGTACATCTGCTTCTAAAAACTCACAGCCCTGAAAAGTCTGTGGAGCAGTTCTACTCTGCAGCCAGGGGATCACCATAATCCCCCCACCACTTGGGAATTCACAACCTGGACCTGTGATGCCAAAAGCCCCAAGCAGGAGGGTGGCAGTCCTCTCCCTCGCTCACTAAGTATGAAAGTTCACCATTTGCATAGAGCTGTATCCCTCTGCTAGAGCTAGCTATTCTGCCCATTGGATAGCTTGCTTCTCAGGAGGGGAGGCCTGGTTCAAGACCGTTTTGATGCTGAGATTCTTTCTTGCAGAGGCGCCTTTGGAGCCTGCCTGCGTCTGTGTCCAGGAAGAACAATCTCGGCCGGTACCTGCTTTCCAAACAATACCAGCAGTGAGTGTCCTGCTCTGGAGGTAATCACACAGCACTGTGAGGGAGCTTTTGGCAATTCAGATGTTAGCAAAGGAAACGGCTTTTGCAAGTGAGTACCTGTGCACAACAGGATGTGGGTTAGACAGTAAAATGCAGAGATCTTGAGAGCCCTATGGGGCAAGATGGAACAGATTGCTTAGAAATCCCCTGGTCAAAATATGCAGGGCTTACTGATAGGGTCAGAACACGTGGGGTAATTCAACAAATATTGATTTAATGCCTGCCCTGATGTGAGGGTGGAAGAGCAGGCAACACTGATCAAGACCCTAGCCCTTGCGTGAAGTCGGAGTAGAACATATGACAAACTCAGGAGGAGAGAAGCCTTGTTTAAGCTACTTGCTGGAAGGAGTGCGGTTTTCTGGGTTTATTCACTCCAGATCGTGAGTGGCCTTGAATTCTAAGGAAGGTCTACTCCATCGAGACCACCATGTAATGCAACACCTGGGAGGGGTGTCCAGGTTAAGAACTTCAAGTGCATTACAGTAGGACTTTTAGGAAAGATGCAACTGGCATAGCACTGTCTCTAAGTGGGCTAGAACTTAATCTTTTAGTTATCAGCCAAGGATACTAATTGTGTGTACCAACCATGGACTCCACAACTCACTCAAACACCCCTAAACATGCAACTTCAAATGACAGACTGAATTGGGTGAGATCATCCCTTCTCGTGATCCCTCGCGAGCTAGTGGAAACCAGCTCGTTAGCAGCTAGTTTGGGTTCTGATGCGTTTCGTTTTCTCTTCTGGAGGTGCCAGTCCTGCTGCTGCTCCGTTGGTTGGGAGTCTGTTCTTGGCTCTGTTTTCTAACAGATGCGATGCTGGCTGCCAGGGACCCCTCTGCTTTGCAGATGGCCTCACTCACACCTTCTCTCGACCCTCAGAGCGGAGCTGAGTGTTCTTCGGCTCAGCCAGCGCTCTATGCTGAGCTGTGCCCTGGCCTAGTGATGGAAGGGAAGAGGGGGCGCAAAGAATGATCTCTGGTGGCTGGAAGTCACAAAGCACATGAGCCTGCCTTGGCTAGAAACAGACTCCCAACACTTTCAGTGTAAACTCTTAAACATTCAAGCTCTAGGAGTTCAGTGACTTGTTTTACTGATTGACTTTGATACCAAGCATCATGTAGGTCCGGGAGGGGTGGAACTGTAAAAGGCTTTACATGGAAAGTGTAAATGAGAAAGCACAGAGAAACAGCCCTCTTTGATGGACACGGGGACGGAGTCATTCTGATTCTACCCTGCCGGTTTGCGTCTTCATTACTCAGTAATAGGAAACTAAAGGACTCTGGATGCTGTGCATCTGAAATTACAGTATTGTTGTGTTTGAAATGTGAAACTATATGCTGGGTTTTCATGACATTTTAGTGCTATTCGCAGGTGTTACACGGTTGGCTTCATCAACCACCCTGTGTGGCGTTTGTTCATACACCTCCATGGCCTGCTCTGCTTCCCCAGCCACTGCATCCATCACACGCCACTGCAGGTGCCCCTCTGTCGCAAGACCCAGAGCTCTGTGAGAGTAGGCAACAGGCCACGCACGGTCAAAGCGCCAGGCACACTAAGAGGAGGACAATGATTAGTTACTGATTAATGTATGCTAGCGTAAGTCATTAGCTTTCAGGTCAGCCTAAGGGGAATAGCATGCCCCTATCCCACCCTTAAGCAGCCCTGATGGTGTAGTGGTTACCCATTGGTCCACGATCCAAATGGTCAGCAGTTTGTTGAAAGCAGCAGCAGCTCCGTGGGAAAAAGACTGGGCTTTCTACTCCCATAAATGGTAGAGTGTTGGAAACCCACAGAGGAGTCACTCAGAGTCAGCATTGGCTTGATGGCCATGAGTTTGGAGTTTGGATCCCACACTCTACTCCGTAGCGTCACAACCTAAAGTCTCAAAACAAGGTGGGGGGCAGGGAGGAACCTGCTGGAAAGACAACAACACTGTGAAAAGCACGTGAAATCCATTACAAAGAATTCTGTCATTGTTACATTTTTCTATACTCCACCCACCCCCATCAAGCTAGGTGTGTGTGTGTATGTGTGGAAAAAAAGAACTAATGACTAGTGCAACCCCCCTGATGGCATAGTGGGTTACGCATTGCTCTGCTAACTGGAAGGTCAGTCATTCAAAGCTGCCAGCCACTCCTCACCGAAAGATGAGGCTGTCTGCTCCTGTAAAGATTTACATCCTCCCAAACCCAAAGGGCAGTTCTACTCTGTCCTGTCGGGGCACTACACGTCCGAACGGACTCAATGACACTGGGTTTGTTTAACAGGAAGGTCTAATTAAAAAACAGACATTGTGTGTTGGCATATTTCATCATTTGGCTTAGTGCAGAGCAGGATGGACAAAAGGGCCCAGGGAATCAGTGAGAGTGATGAGTGCTTGATGTTTTGAAATTACTTCCATTTACCAGACATTACCTGGGTGACTTTGCCATGCAAAGTACAAAACTAAGGATCTTAATGACGGGGCATGGCATACATAGAAAAAATATTCTATATCATGTTTCATTGTTTCCTAACATGGACCATTTTAGCGCAAAGTGATCCTAGATTTTCATCCGTGTGTGTTGAGTGTTTCTAGGGTTCTCATAATTGACTGGGAAACGCCACCAAGAGATGTTGAGCAGATAATTCTCGATATGTGGGCAAGCCCAAAAGGATTGCTACAGAACTATAGAAATATTTATTGAACAAA